ACAGGACGATCTCCAGTGTCCCGACATCCCACAGTAAGAGCACGGTTTGCCAGCAAATATGTTGGGGTCACTTGGGCCGCGGTTTCCCTTTCGGATGTTGTTGATGGCGGCAGCGATGTCGTCAATGGTTGGGTGGCCAGGTCTTCCCACGGTTTGTGATCGGTTGTTGGGTGTAGCGGTGTTCGACGATTGAGATGCCGGTTGATTCTGTTGAAACGGGTTTCTCCGGGGAGGTCGGATTGGGTTGGGATTTGAATTGGCCCATTGGTTTTGGTTGGGCCAGGTGCGGAATACGGACACGTTTGTTGATGGAGATGAATCGAAACGGAGGGCTTCGCCATATGCTGACGTGATGATAGTCTGGATGTCACGGGCCGTGACGTCAGGTTTCTTGCCAAGCTGAAGGGAGATGTTTTGGAATAACTGAGATCAAGACATTGAGGCCGGAGAGGGAACGACAGCTTGAAGAATGAGGCTTTCGACAAGAGGAGAAAGGCCTGCGCCGACTTTGGTAAGTCCACTGAAGGTTTCAAACAGTTTGTTGAACAGGCCGGGGATTTGGGAAGGTTCGGTTGAAGGGCCGGAAACACGGAATTCGAGAAGTTTGTCGATAAGTTCCATTTGTCGGAATCGGACTGTACCCTGGAAGTTGGTCTGGACAGCATCGTAGGCCTCAGTGCCTTTGGTGTATTGATCAACGAGAGAGGAGAGTTCGTCATTGATAGTGATTTGAATGAGAAAGAGAAGACAGGTGTTTTCCTGGTCGGATATTTTGGAGTAATTTTCTGATTTATCAAAGAAGTTAGCATGGCCGAGGGTGAGAAGAATGATACGTGTGAGTCCCCGTTTCCACTTGTCGAAATTGGATCCGTCGGCGGCGAGTTGTTCAACATCGCTCTTGTAGATACTCGGTTGTTGTAGGAATTTAGCTCTGGGGGTGATGTCGGATGTCGCCGGCGTTGACATTGGGATCGGTTGGGCGATTTGGATTGGCTGAACGTTATGTGAAGAATGTCTGGTTGGAGATTGGGGGCGAACGTGGGATATAGGGGATAAGAAAGGGGAAGGTGGTCGGTTATCAATGGCAGGAACAATCGGAGATGTGTGATTTGGTAGATCGGAGCCGGTTGTTACAACAGTGGATATCCTAAAGTTGTTTAGGCTGTTGATGAGTGTGGTGAATTGTTCTGGTTGAGGGGAGTGTGCGTGGTCAGTCTCTGGCGGTGTTAGTGGTGGCGACGGTGGTAGAGGAGGTAGTTTTGATAGTTGTCGGTATTCGATCTTCCGTCTCCGGTCAAGGATCGAAATCGGTTTGCGGCGTCGTGTTGGAGGAGGCAATGGTCCGAAGAGGGTATCTTTCGTCGACCGTCGGGTATGTACCATAAGTTGGCGGATCGGTGCCGAGTCGTCGAGATTAAGTTGATGAAGGTGCCGAGATGAAAAGTAAAGGAGTTGTCGAGACTGTCGAGATGAAGTGGATCAAGGTGCTGATAGTGAAGGAGAGGTCGAGATGGCTAGTGAAGTGGTGAGTAGTCGACTCTTAATCTGTTGTGGTTGAGAATGCCTAGTGTTCATTGCTTCACTCCGCTCCCCCTCTTGTACTTTCCATACTCCAAATATGGAGTTTGTTCACCCATACAACAGAGAGCATCTTCTCTCATTTTAGATAAAATGTAGTCTGCTGTAGAAGTTAGTTCATTGTTCAAATTATCAACAGCTGTAGTTAATTTGGAACAAGCTAATTGACTCTTAGCGGTATTTTCAGCAATAAGTTTAGTAGCTTCAGGGTTAATGGACAGAGGGTTGCGAAGCATGTTATCAAATTTAAGAGACAAATCATCGGATCTTTTCTTATTGTTCCTGGTATTGAGGTCAAAGCTATTTACAATGGATTTAAAATTGCTTTCGGCGTTGCTGTCAATCGCCGAAAGATTCTTATTTACAAGATCAAGGCTATCTAATATAGCAGTAAGGATTTTTATGTCTAATCCATGTTCATGTAACCCGACTCGAGGGTGTGGCAAGCTTTCATGAGCTTCTTCCAGCGGCGCGGGTCGTTCATCTTCGCGTCTTTGTAAGAGAAGTTCGCTCGGGAGGAGGAACTTCTTTTCTTGCCTCCTCCCTCTTGTTGAAGGACTGGGAAGAGATCCCTCTTCGCGGTCCAAGGGTTCCAACCCTTTACGTATTCTTCCACCTCTGCTCGAGGTATCAACTTCTGGAGAGTCCTTTGACTCTCTTGAGCTCGATTGAGGAGAGCGCGGTTCCCCTCGCTGGCGCCTAAGGGTAGATCCGCTTCGAACTTCTTCCAAAGAGCTATGTGTTCTTTGACGAGAAGTTGAATTCTCTCTTCCTTCGTCAAGATTCGAACTTCTGGCGACTTGAGGCGTTGCTGGGTATCCGCCGAGGAGCTCGACGCTCGAGGATCTATATCCATCGCGTCCGGTGCTTTCTCGACTGAGTTCTTGGTAATCGTCGCCTTGGTTTGAGTCATTCGAGCCGTGGCTGGAGTCTCGCCGGTCGGTATCAAGCCGTTCTCGGCCAACGTCTCCTCGGTCGGTCTCTCGACTGATACTGGCGCCATCTTCTTCTGGATGGTGATCAGTTTCAGTCGATTGACGCGCTCCTCCAGCTGATTGGCCGCGCCGCGTCGAGTGGCTGGGGGTAAGGGGCCGTGGAGGTCTGGATTGTTCGACCTGGTAGACATGATGAATTTAAGAAGTATGAGTTTAGTGTTTGTTTCGGGACAAAAAAGGTTTCCGTAGTATGTAGGCTAACCTGTGTTGGGACTGTTAGCAGCGGTCTCGGCGGCAGGGGTAGTTCCGGCGGCTGGGGTAGTAGCAGCGCTGGAGTTAGAGGTAGTCGACACTGAGAATAAAGGAGGGAAAGAAGAAGGTTGAGTTTCTTTCTTTCAAGGAGAATAGGTGTAAGAGAAGATAAGCGCGTACTTCTAGCGAGTCTTTTATCTCGGAGTTCAGTTAGAAGTAAGCGGCATTTGGCTTTGTGGTCTCTTTTGACGGAATTCCAAAGCAACAGGTTGGCGATTCTCTCTTCTTCCTTAATCTCTACGCGTTTGAGGGCTCTAGCGCGTTGTTCGTCTGGGGTAAGTAATTCCCAGTCTGAGGGTTGGTAGTTTGCTGCGCGCAGTGCTTTTTCAGACGCGAGGAGAGTAAGATAGTACTGAATTAGTTTAGCGGTTTCTTCCAAGTTCACTAAGAGGAAGATAGAAAAAATTGATTTAGTAAAAAAGAAGATATGTTTTTAGGACTTTTTTATGTTTTATAATATGTTTTATGGGTTTGGTTTTTTAGTGGAAAAAATTCGAATAACAGTGGAAAAAATAAATGATTTTTTATGTGTTTTATTTATTTTTTAGTAGAAAAAATAAGGCCAGGGTTTTATCCAAAAAATAAAGATATTTCCCGGCCAGACCCCCAATTGTCAGCCTCAGTGATGCCAAGAGCTGAAACTCTTCTAGCTACACTAGGTGCAAGGATGAATTCAGAGGTGTACACGTGTGAGTGACACGTGAAAAGTGGGTAGAAGTGTGGTAATAAAAGAAAAGTAAATAAAAACTGTTAAGTTTTTATTTACAGAGGGGCCTGAGTTACAGGGGTTTTTAAGGTGCCCTCTAATATCAGGTCCTGGGTTACAGGGGTGGTACTGATGTTCTGGTCCTTTGTAATAAAGGAGTATGCCCAGAAATAGCCTACAACTGAAGAATCAAAGAAATAATACTTACTAGTACTTATCTCTAAGCCAAGGAGGTCTTCAGGAGGGGGGAACTGTTCTTGAGGCGCTCAGAAAGGTGGGTGAGAGAGGTTGGAGGAGTGCTGGGGAACAGGTGTTGGTTGGTTGATGGAAATTCAGGTTGATAACAGCAGGAACTGGGCCAAAAGGCAGGTTGAAACTGGTTGTTGGTGACGGTTTATGCTGGTAAGTACTGATGAAGATGGGGGATCAAAGTTCAGGGGAGAGAAGGGGCTCTTAAGTACCCATTCTGGGCCTCTGGGGGCGAACTCAGGAGTCTCTCTGGCTGCTGTAGCTCTCCTACTAAGCCTATGAGAGCTTTAGATCATCTGTAGCACCTGTAGAGCTTGGTTACAGGTGTCAAGGAGATGATGTCAGGCTTGTAACCATGTTTACAGGGTGTTCTGACGAAACTGTAACACTGCTGTAGCCTATGTCAGCACTGCATGATGCATGGGTTGATCTTCAAGAGAGTAATTGTCCCAATTGGGCCAAAAAGGGCCACAGATCATCCCAAACAATTTAATACTGTAGTCTGTGCTCATGTAGTTAAGGTTTCAATGATGCAAACCTTGTTTGTAGATTTTTCCCGAACTGCATGAACCTTAATTACACATGTAGCCCCCTTACAACATGTAGTATGATGTAACTGGAGGGGTCTACAGTGTATTTTGGTCCAATATCACTCAAGGACTACAAAGTAGGTGAAGGAGTAGTAATTCAGGGGTACACTTGGTGAGCTACCCTAGGTTATTTTGCATGTAAATTCAGAATCTGCAATAATATTCTGAGTTATACTTAAGGTTCAGAAGTTATTAGAAGATTCTGGTTAAAAGTGTTATTTTCTCTGGTTTATTTAATTATTTAAATGTTTCTCTCATGAAATATTTACAATGTAAGTGTACTGTGTAATAATATCTCTATTATAGTGTTTCAACTTATTTAAATAGTGTATTTTAATATTTTAACTGTATGTACATATGTAAGTAATAATATCTCTTAAATAAGTAAAAGCTATGTTCAGGCTGGCTCTGATTAGTAGCAGGCTGACATTGTTTGTGTCGCCGCAAAACCCGCATTGGTCTAGCTTAGATTTTTGTTCACAGCTCTCAAGGAAACATCCAACTCAACATTTGCAAGCTTGGAAGAAGGCTCACTCAAGATTTGGTTGCAAACAGTTAGAAAAATCTGGAACAACTTCAAACTCATGCCCAGTTCACTTTCATTTGATTCATTGGTCCGCACATGTCTACATGCGTCACAAGCATCAGAGGCCCCACAAATCCTCTCAGCAAACCGGTCAGAGTTGGTCAACCAATCAGCATCAATCTGCCAAGACCCCTCGCAAACAAGCTGTAAAGTATGTTGTGTACCCCTACAAACAGGATCAAAGACTGTTGGAGGATTCACAGGGTGAACATTATACTGTCGAGCGCTTAGATCATGAAGAAACCTCAGCTGTGGATTACCCAAGCAATTCAGCCAAAGATCACTTGTCATTAGAGCCACCCAGTGACACAATGTTTGAAGACAAAGAGGATGATTGCAATTCAAAAAACTCAAAGAATGAAAAACACAAACTAGACCAAATTGATTTAGATCAAATTGAATGGGACAACCGGTCTGATCTGGATATCAATGCAGCCCCCTATCAGGTTCAACCAGAACAATCTTCTACCTTCAAGGCTTTTCTAGAAGATGGTGTTGTCCATTTTTTCCCAGAATCCAATTCAACCCAACAATCTGAACCAGATTTTGACTTAAAAAACTATAGAGCTGAAGATGTTGACAACTGGGCCAGCACCCTGTTGGCAGATGAATTTGAGCATCTTTGTGTTATGGGAACCAACGCTAGAACCAAATCTTTCCAGCAATATGCTATCTCCAACCTCAATCAACTAACTCAGACCCTTACTCAACAAAGCTCATCAACCCATGAACACCTTGAACACCTGGTTTCTACATCTAATGGCTGCCAGGACTACAGAAATTACCACCACCACCAGCCTGATGACATCAGCAGCAACAATTTCGACCAACAGCGGCTTGCATCTCCAGATGATGAGTCAAGATCTGCGTTCTACAATCACTCGGGCAACTGCAACTCTCATCTAGAGGCTTTTGATGACATTGGTTTTGATGACAGCACTTTTGACAATGGCGGCTTTGACAATGATGACTTTGAGGATGGTGGATTCAACAATGGTGGATTTGACAATGGTGGATTTGACGATTGCGGATTTGATGATGGTTGTTGGAATTTTGACTCTTCCCTTCTTCATCTCTTTCACTTCTCAATTTTACAATATCTCTTTCTTACAATAATACCCTTAAGTACCAATAATTATATAGTCTGTCTAGTAGCTAGTCATGAATTTAAACATCAAATTCTTGTAGTCAAAGAACCCTGAATCCCTAGTTGTTAATTTCTTTCTTCTCCATGCCTATCTTCTAATTATTCTTAAGGTTTTGGTGTTGAGATTGATCTAATGAAACTAACATCTTCATTAGAAATGTGGTACTTGATTTCTTTTGTTGTTTATAAAGTAGAGTTATCATAAATAAATAATGTCTCTCTCATGCTTCATCAACACTGAATTCAATTTCCTCTCAGTCTGTTTTTTTATTCATTATTGTTTCTTTATTCAATTTCCTCAACAACCACAGATTGAACTCTTGTATCTAGTCTATTTAATCTAGCCTAGTTCAAGAAATTAAAATCATCAGCTCTCTCCTTCATTTTTTGCCACTTGGGCTGTTCCAACAAAATATTTTTGTTGTCCAAAGATTCTCCCAAAAAAACTCCTCCCTGTCAATTGGTCCTAGTTTCAACAATGGTGAATTTGATGATGGCTATGGTTCAAATTATTATTAGCCTGTTTCATGTTACAATCCTCTTCCCCACTTCTCAATATTTGATTTTTTTATCTTCAACCTACTCATCATTTCTACCAGTTTATTTTATTTTGATTATTTATTTTTTATCTTTCAGCCTCCTCAACCTTTCCACACAATTTTTTTTTCAAGATTGATCTTATTTTGATTATTTATTTCTTCTGCCTTTCTTCATTTTTTTTCTAATTTTTTTCTCAGCTTATATGTAGTTAGGACCTCCCTGGCAGGTGTCTTGGAGCCTTGCCGAGGGGGTGGGTGTTGTGACCTAGGTCACATGGTGTGACTTGGCTGCGGCTCAGCCAGCCAGAATCCATACCAATTACCAACCCTACACTCCTACAAAAAGCCCCATGTTATGTTTTGAGCTCTCAATACATAACATGGCTCACAGCAACACTGATAGGTGTCCTCAGAGAACCTACCAAAAACAACCAAAAATTTGTTTTTGTATCACAAAAGAGGATCTTTCATGGAATTGAATATGTGTTGGAAACTTACAAGTTACAAGTAGTTGTATAAAGGTAGACTAGAGTTCAAGAGCAACTGTGCTGCCTGTCTACAAGATGATGTTATCTTCAAAAGTGTAGCTATACCCAAATGAATCAATTTCCACCTGAATGTGTACAAATATCCCAACTTGCTATATAGGTTATTCACAGACAAATCACTGCTAAATTGAAGCAAATACCCATCTTTTTTGTATTTCTGACTTGCCACACCCCAATAGATAAATTGTTCGGTCAGTAAATTCTGTGGGCAGACCCCCTCAATTTTAATACCAATGAAACATACCCCCTCATCACCTGATTATCCAGGAGCATGCTCATATAATGTAGTTGTATCAAAGTTGGGCCAGTTATGCTAACCATAGTTTTAGTGTTGTGTAAGGTAGCAGAATTTGTCAGCCACAGAGCACCTTTCACAGTACGTGAAATGTACCTAGTAACTGCAAGATAATAATTAATTGAATAGAAGTACAGATTATACCTTGTTGTTACAATAATAAATAAATAAATATGTATTTACATTGAATCTTAATTCATAATTTATATTTAATAATTCAATAATTAACTGTGAAATCCCCTTGAGTATTGTACATATAATATCACTAGGATTTCACAGAAATATCATTGGAATAAGTTATTAAAATAACATTTATTCTTATACATTATGTACATATTATATAATCCATAAACTAATTACATATGTATAAGAATCAGCTAGTAGAAGCGTGAAATGGATGAGGAATAAGCTATATAGACTTATCTGAAGCTTAACCATCCTTGATCACATCATCAGGGCATCAGATTGCATCATAACCCTCTTGGATGATGTCATCAGGACCCTTTTGTGCTCTAATTCAAAGCTTGCATAATTCAAAGTAGCCTACACGGGAAAGGAGCCCAAATTCTACATGAAAGACTGAATTATGCATGCAGCACATGCATTTCTCATGATCACAAGCTTGCATAAGCAGATTTACACGTATGCAACTAACCATACAATTGCACAGCCCCTGCACAGTAACTGCAGCTCTTTCAATTACGTGAGAAATGGGCCATAAATTCAATTATGCATGTATGATTTCATGTCCTGTGACCTTCCATCAATGCACAGCTCTTCACAGCTACAGTTCCCATCCTTACACGAAACTGTAGAGCTGCTATGAAGTCCTCTAGTGCCCTGAGGACCTCTGCTCTTCCCCTGAGGCCCCTGTAGAATATTCAAGGAGCCCTGATTCCTACCTTTTTCCCCCAAGGAATTCTAGTAGCAACCACCCAACACTTGTACCATGATTATTAGTGATTCAACCCACCAATAACCTTACAACTCTGCTACCTTAGATATAAATAGATTTACTTTGCTCAGATTCAAGGCATTTCTACTTATTTCTATTGCATAAAGAATTACCTCCAGGTTAAACAATTCTGGTCCTTAAGTGTTGATACACTTATTAATCTGAATTGTTGTTAAAAGACTTATCCCAAGTGAGTTGAAGAAGTCCTCACCTTGGAAGCCTATTAATCCATGCAAGAGGATTGATCTGGATGCCCAATTGAATAATTGGATGAGTCAGCAGTAGAAGTACCATTCCTCACTGACTCCTCCCTGTTTAACTTACAGGTTGAGGGATATAACCACGAATAAAACCTTCTCAATTCACTTGTTGTTAACACTCAGAGCACAAACCTTACAGGTTAGTAGCATAGAGGCTGACAGAATTCCACTCAACTTTAGCATAGCATAGCAGAATTCTGCCACATCCAAGCTAACACTACACACACAGGCCCCCAAAATATACCTGCTACACTGCACTAATGTGCTGATTAGCGTCACTTTGGCCCTGCAGTGGCTATTAACAACCCATAGTGCAGCATGGTGCAGCTGCAGCAAAAAACTGCTAACATTGTGCTGATACCATGTGATTCCTGCGCAAAAAGTGCTGCTACACTAACAGCTTTTTGGGCAAAAAACACAGTGTAGCATAGAGGCCCATTGTTGGTGTTATGATGTCTCCAGCCAGCAAGACCAAAGATGATCTCAAAATCCCGACTAGCACCCAGCCCCCATTTGGTGGCACCTGAAAGACCCACAAAGTATTTCTGTTACCCGTCAGGCAGTGTAGGGTGGGGAACTAGGTGCCTTTTTTTGGGTAAAAAACCCACCTGGTACCCAGGTCCAAATTAACATTCTTAATATCATACAGCCAAAGTTCTTCACCTGTCATCTGGTGGGAAATATTTTTTCCTGGTATATTGTAGGCTTGTTTAGCCTCCGGTGGTAGTGATGGCTTTGATTCTGGCATGATACAAAACAAGCTTTGAAAATGGGGCTTGGTTAATTGACTCCCAAAAATTGTAGAGTTGCCTCCCAAGACCTGTATTCCACGATGTTTGGGAGTCAAACCCTCAAAACCTTTGACTGGTTTGGCAGCTGACTCCCTCATATATATATATATATATATAAACCCCGGTCAGTTTGGGAGTTGATCCTCCAAAACTAAGCAGGGTTTGAGGGTCAATAAACCAAAAGACCCCTACAAGGGCAGCTGGAGAGTTGCCTCCCAAGCACCATATTCCCCAACCACTGAGAGTCAAACCTGCAAAATGTTTGACTGGTTTGGGGTTGACTCTCTAAAAAATATATAAAAAAACCCAGTCAGGTTGGGAGTTGATCCTCCAGAACTGACCAGGGTTTGAGGGTCAATAAGCCAAAAGACTGCCATGGAAGCAGCCAGGAGGATTCCTCCTGGCCACTGAGAGTACATGTACACCCCGGCCGTTCAGAGTGTACACCTTGATGGACAAGAGGAATCTTCTTGGCCGCTGAGGGTATACACTCTCAATGGCCAAGGTAAACCACCTCCGCTGTCAAGGGGTACACTCTTGACCATCAAGGTGTGCACTCAGCAGCTAAGAGAAAGAAATCCTCATGAGTATATACCCTCAACGGCCATGAGCATTCTTCTTGGCCATCAAGGTGTATACTTTTGACAGCCGGGGTGTACATTTACTTTGAGAGGAAACCTCTCAGAAGTTCAGAGTGTGCACTCTCAATGGCCAAGAGAAACCAACTTTGCCATCAAGGTGGACACTCTCAACGGCTGAGAGGGTTTCTCTCTCTCAGCTGCTGAGTGCACACCTTCCAGGCTGTCAAAAGTGTACACTAGGCGGCCAGGAGGAATCCTCCTGGCCGCTGCCATGGGGACTTTTGGTTCATTGACCCACAAAACCAAGTGGGTTTTGGAGGATTGACTCCCAAACTGACCAGGGGTTTTGTTTTTTAATATATTTTTTAGACTCCCAAACCAGTCAAAGTTTATGTGGGTTTGACTCCCAAGGGATACAGGGCTTGGGCATCAACTCTCCAATTTTTGGGAGTCAATTAACCAAGCCCCTTGAAAATAATCATTAAATCAGAAAGTTTGCTCATAGCTGCTAGATTGACATTGGTAAGCTCAATGGACCAAGAAGGTGTTGGATGTTATTTGCCAAACCACCCCACAGAGAGAAGACAAAAAGCTTCTAGGAACATTGCTGTGGGATTGAAATATGGATTCCTTTCCTCAATACTGGCAGACATTCACATTCAGCTCTTGGCACAACTGCTGGTTGTTAAAGAATTGCCCCCTGCTCTGCTGGGTGATCTAGAGTAAAATGGGAATTCTGATCCCAATGTTGAAGGTGAGCCATGTTTGTATATCTTATTCACTTGATTACAGTACAAATCAGAATTTATTCTTCTTGCCCCTCTAATAAAATAGTACTCCCCACATGTTTTGTAGACTTGATGTATCAAACCCAAATCTCAATTGGTTACAGTGCAGTTTGCATACCAATACCGTGATAAGACAATAACAAAGAGTACACAAGCCTAATCTATGAAAGGCCAATCAGATGCTCAAGACAACTTAGTTTGTCCACTGCTTTGAAGACAAGGATATTGTCAAAACATCATAGTGAAATTGATCTTTCAACTTATGTGATATAACATGATTACTTTCTAATAATGACATTGTTGATTTTACTTAGTGCAATGTAGATCTAGCATAATGTAAGTACAAGCATATCTAACTGTGACTAATGATGTGTATAAGTTGTCCAATCGATTGGTGTGGCAATTTCGGTGAACGTGGTGGAGTCGTCCAGATTATAACTTGATTCAGATGATGAACAAGGGGGCAGGAGTCTTTTTGGTGCGTCTCTTCAGACAGCCTGCTTCTTTTTGGGCGGTTTCTTGTCTCCTCTTGACAAATTCTCGGCCCCTATTGGAATCATCAAAGCCCACTGCTCTACTTTGCCAATGTCACCAAGGTTTCGCTTGTATATCTTCCCGTCTTTGGTATGATACGGCTGATGTTTGTAAGTCGAATAAATATTGGATGGGACCACGAAGTAAAGCCTTCGGCTGGATTCGGACTTGTCCACCAGCTCTAGAGCTTTGCTGAGGCCCTGATGCTTGATCGGATGTGTGTTGGAAACTGTAATTTGAAAAAAATTCGCTGGTCCACGCAACGAATCAATTGATGCCAGGGTTGCACTGCACGGCCTCCAGAACACGTCGGTGCGTAGGTCAACTTCTTCGTAAGTTTTGAAGGTTCGACGTTCGGCTACGGGAAACGTGATCTTAATATTCTGGCCACTTCGCGGATCTCCTTCGCCAAGCGGACGGACTTGAAAGGTTCCACCTTCTTGCAACACGTTTTGAGCGTGCATCTCGAATAGCATTCCACGGAAATTGCTACCATCGGGACAATCTCGGAGCAAGTTCAGAATGTTGATGCGAAGTTCTTGCTCATATCTTTTGGACATTTCGGTCGCTACTTGGTCTGATGCCCATGACAAGTGAAACCGAGTGAGTTCTCCAGAGGGGTGACTAAAAATGTGTACCACGCGATGCGAATATTGTCCATCGGGAGTTTCGGCTTGATAGGCTTTGATAACATCCATGATGCCACCTCGGTTGATGGCTTCTGTCAGACTCTGATTCACCTCTTCAAATGCAGCGTCCTCGTTGCCACCCTTTCGTTTGAATTCGGTTGAGGCCCGAGCAAGAACGTATCTCGGCACACCGCCGTACCATTCAAAAACTCGGTCCATGAGCGCTGTGGGCAATATTTGTTCATCTGGATAGAGGATAGCTTTGCAAGTTTGCAATTCCTCATAACTCCAAGGCGGCATATACAATAGCTTTGAATTGTCGTCTTTGAGAAATTGGTGGTAGTGATTGTGTTGTGGAGAGGTGACGAGGAGAGTCCAGACTTTTCTTAATTTTGGAGCTTTACCATCCACAATGTGTACTGCTTCGGATTTTGCGAGAGCGCCGTCAATCTCAGAACCCCAAGTACCAACCAGTTCAACGCCGCTTGATGTCATCAAATAGGACAAATGTTCAGGAAGGAAGGGAGGCTGCCACACCACAGTTTTTTTCGCGCGCGCCGCAATCCACATGTAGTAGACGGAAAAAAAGGTTTTTCCAATCCCAGGAGTACCGGTAACGACCCATCGATCATAGGCGTTGGCCTTAAAAAACTCGCAGAGCTCTTTGTAAATAGGGCGCACAAGTAGGCGGTGGCCAAGTTTTTTGTCTCCCAGAATGTAAGACTCTTTTAGCTCCAAGTATTCTACCTCCCTGTCGACAACCAAACTGGCCTCTGGTAGAGCCTTCCAGAAGCGTATGAGGTCCTGAATGTTCAATCCTGCTTTGAGTTCTGAGACTAAATGTTTAATAATCAAGCAGGAAGAGGGACAAGAGCACATCGGGAGCTTGAGCTTAGTATTGCTGGCACAAGAGCTGAATGATCTTTGACCCAAGCTCACCTCTCACTACAAGAGGAGTCTCCGGCACACTGCAATGGGAGAGTTGTGCAGCGTGTTCTGCAAGGCGTGAGTGTGGAGTGAGCGCCTCTGCGTGCTCATTGACATGCAGGGTGATATCCGTCGATTCGAAGGCACGCAAAGAACGCGAAAATGTGCTTTTTACTGCCTTGGCGAGGTCATCAACGAACTCGAGCTCTTGTGTTGGAACGCTAGTGAGCTTATTGTTGTACGATAGCCAGATTATGGCAGGAACACCTTTCGCTATAAGAGGAGTCTTCGGGGCAACGTCCGATTTTACTACAAATAACGGGACACAAGATGTTTAACGATCAAGTAGGGGGAGGGAGCAAAGCGAGAGCTTTAACTAGGCATTGCTGGCACGAGAGCTTGGCGCGGATGGGATGGAAGCTTTATGGAGGCTCACCTTTCACTACAAGAGGAGTCTCTGGTACGTTGCAACGGGAGAGTTGTTCAGCGTGTGCTGCAAGGCGTGAGTGTGGAGGGAGCGTATCAGCGTCCTTATCGGTATGCAGGGTGATATCCGTCGAGTCGAAGGCACGCAAAGAACGCGAGAATTTGTTTCTGGTCGCCTCGGCGAGGTCATCAACGAACTCAAGCTCTTGTGTGAGAACGCTAGTGAGCTGATTGTTGTACGATATCCAGATTCTTTCGGGTACCATCCTGAGAGTATGGGCGTGGAGCGACTTGTGAGAGTGAGGGCTGTTGACCGACTTGAGAGAGTAAGGCCTGTCGACGTAAAGTGCTAAAAACAGACCCCTGCAAGACGGAAGAAAAGAAACAATCAATGACTGAAGAAATTAGAAGAACAGAGAAAGAGAGATTGTAACAAATCATTTACCAATATGATTCCGAGTCACTATACGAAGGAGACAAGCAGAGAAGAACGACGAGAAAGATGAACCAGAGTATCAAGGTTAGACTCGAGCCCTGCAAGCGACGGTGAAGTTACAGCAAGATCTTGATGACCATCGATCGGTTGCTCCGAGTGATCGAGTTGAGCTTGTCAAGTTGTCTTGAGGAGTGGACGGCGTCGAGTGTAGCCGCGCCCGTGACAGCACCGACGCGGACCCCGGGTTTCGGCCTCCCGACGGGCTTGGGCTCATTCACGAGACCACATGACAACAGACGCCCACGCTGTCAACAACCGGCGACCTCAGAGCATCTCCACCACGGTCCCTAAATCGGGTCCCTATTGTAGATCCGTGAATCCTAATAATCAAGATGAGATGATGAAAAACTCCCACAAAGGGAAAATTATATTTCGGAGATGCAGAGAAACTATATATAGGTTTGTAAATACATACTTTGGTTGATGAGAAATAAGTATATAGTAGACTATGTAATAACAAAATATGTGAGAAACTGCTGACATGAGAAAATATAACTATGGAAACATAACTAAATACATACTGTATAACAACACTCCCCCCCTCATCAACCACTAAAAAGAGAAAACAAAATAGAAGAAGAAAATATATGGTATCAATCTCATAGAAATATGAGCAAAAAACTGAAAAAAGGACAAAATGTAGAGGAATTGAAGAAAACGGAAAACTAAGATAAATTGAAAAATGAGAGAAAAAATAAGAGGAAAATAAAGAGGAAAATAAACACAGAAATATAAGCAAGAGAAAAGAGAAACATGGCAAAAGGAAAAATGACCGGAAAGGAGAAAAAAGAATGTTAAAACAAGTTGAGCCCAGGGTGATCGTCAACTGCAAAATATAACACATTATTGGTTATCTTCTGAGGAACCAATCATCCTTCTTCATTCGGCGGAAGTTGCAGAGGGAGACAAACAGATGCGGGGGGTGCATGTTCATCGCAGCTAGCGCATACTTTCCCCCCTTTACTTGCCAAAGTGTTGGACTGCCGCCGCAGTCTGAGGAGTGCAAGAAACTCCGAGACCTTTTTCCACCCAAGGGCCTTGGTGAGAATATCAGCAAGTTGATGGTTGGTTGAGATCCACTTGAGCCGGATTTTCTTGAAGTACAGCAGCTCGTTGATTACATGGAATTCCCGCTCAACGTGGCAATGTTCTTTTCGAGTGCCGCAATCGGAGCTGATGTGAATTGCCGCTTTGTTGTCGGAGAGAAGTAAAGGCTTTGGGAATTGGGGAAAGAAAGAAGACAGGATGGAAAACAAACAGATGGCATCCTTTGATGCAAAAGACAGAGCCATGTATTCCGCCTGGCACGTTGAGCGAGCCACACAAGTCTGTTGTTTGGAAGACCAAGAGATAGGCGCCCCCCGAACAGTGGAGATGAAACCATGGACCAATTGCAATACCTCTCTGCCCCAATTCGCATCTACAAACGTCTTGATGCCACCGGCAAAGTCGTGCGAGGCCACTATTGGCAGGGCAAGCTTCGCGCTATAACAAATATAAGAGATGAGGTGATCTAGCGCAGCCCAGTGAGAGAGATCAGGTTTCATGGAGAAGCGCGCTAGGAAATGAACAGCAAAGGTGATGTCTGGCCGCGAGCCCTGAGCCAAATAGAGGAGACAGCCAATACGGGAGAGATAATCCCGGTCCATAGATCCTTCAGAGAAATTGGATTCAAGATCTGTCGAAGCAATTGGTGTTCTGGTGCATATGGCTGATGGTTGAAAATTCAGGATCTTCTCGACCAGCATTGGTTGGTCAATGCTGAAACCGCCAGGCACCTGTTGTACCCTCAGGCCAACAATGCTAGACAAAGATGTATCCCACTTGAGATCCAGCACCAAAGACAGTTTTCCCTTTAGACTGTCCAATAGATCAGAAGAGCTTGCAGTGAAAAGACCGTCGTCGACGTGGACCCACAAAAAGGCACGATCCATCCCGGAGGAATAAACGTATGTGGACTGGTCTTCAGGATTTGGGAAAAAACCAATGGTCTCCAGACGTGATTTGAGATGAAGCCACCAACAACGGGCTGCCTGACGAGTTCCATACAACGCCTTTCGAAGTCAATCGACACATCCGGGTTTGACCGCTACACCAGGGGGTGGGCAAATGAAAACTTCATGATCAATGTCGCTGTGAAGGAAAGCGCTCTTCACATCAAATGAAGCAATAGGCCAATTATGATGTGACACCATGGCTAAAAGAAGTCGCAAAGAGGAGAAAGTTGGAGTAGGAGCAAATGTTTCACTAAAGTTCCGGCTGTGGATTTGTTTGAAACCCTGTGCAACAATATGTGCCTTAAACTTAGTGATGTTGCCTTCCTGATTTCTTTTCAGAGCAAAAACCCAAAGACACATCAGGATATCTTGACCTTCTGCCTCGGGAACTTCCTCCCAAACCTCAAGTTGGATCATCATCCCAATTTCATCATTGATTGCCGCCAACCATTCAACCCAGTAATTTGAGTCAATCGCTTGTTTATAGGTGTTTGGAGCATCCGAGCTGAATGGAGACACTGATACAGCCGACTTGAGACAAGCATCCTGTATTTCAAGCTCGCGGACCTGCCGGAAATCGCCTAAAGCATCCACTCTGATTGAATTAAGGACTGCATTGATATTTCCTGAGTTGGTCAACTGAGAAGGTAGATCATCCTCATGAAATATCACAGAAGCCCCCCTCTCCAGCTTTTTTGAGACCGGATCCCACAAAAGCCAGCCATGGGATTCGTCCAGAATTCCAACATGAATGTATGCTGCTGAACGGGGGACGAATTGCTTCTTATAGTTGATGTCGTGTAGGTACGCCCGGCACCCAAACACGCGGACCATGTTGAGAGATGGTCGCTTCTTCAAAGCCATCTTGTACGGCAATTTGTCGACACCGGTGTGTACTACACAATTGAAAATGAAACACGCCTGTTTCATTGCTAGGAACCAAAGAGAGTTTGGGAGTTTGGTGTGAATGATAAACGTGCGAGCCATGTCCAAAAGGGTCCGATTTGTCCGCTCAACACTGCCGTTCTGGTGATGTTCATATGGAATGCTCAACTCATGCCGAATGTTGTTGTCTTTTAAGAACTTGTTGAATTTATTCGAAGTAAATTTGCCAGCATTGTCCGACCTGATTGACTTTACTGAGATGGAAGTGCGGCTGTTGAACTCAAGGATCAAATCACTGACTGCTTTTCCGGCTTCAGCTTTGGTCTTGAGTTCAACCACAGATGTCAATCGTGAAAATACATCATGTATAACCAATCCGTATGTGCTACCATCCAATGCTGCCGGAAAAGGTCCAACCAGATCAATTGCTATCATGTTGCCAGGCTCATCAACAGCATCGCGAGACGGGGACTTCACAGGATTGTGGGTGCTCTTGGCCAGGGAACAGGAATGACATTTTGATTTTGGTGAGGATGACTTTTTCATGGGAATACCTGACACGCATTGAGTAGCAATAGTTTGATTGAAAAAACGGACGGTGATGTGACCTAATCAGGCATGCCAGAGAGAGGATGAAGCCAGAGAAAACACATGAGGGGAAGAGGCATACAAGTTGAGAGACAAATTTGAAGAAGGAGAAGGGATGAACCAGCGATAATTTTTGACGTATGTCGGAAAAGAGATTTTATTTTGAGAGAAAACAAAAGAGCCATTTGCAAATCAAACACTTCCGTCCCAGCGGTCAAAATAACCAACCAAGACTACTGTTCCTTGAATTCGAGGGACAAATAAAACATCCTTTAAATGTAGATTGCCATAACGAGTGGGAATTAAGGCATCACCCACACCGTCTACGGAAATGCGGTCTTGGGAAGCAACACACAATTTCACGTTAGCTGGACGCAGATTGATAAAGAATGAGTGATGCGACGTTACATGGTTTGTTGCTCCTGTGTCACACAGCGGATCTTCAGGATTCTTGGGTGTTGCTGATACGGAGGCAAGTTCGCCAGAGTTGAACAGAAGTCCAGACAGAACATTGGACTTCTTTGGCTTCCAGGAGGGATTCGTCTTACGTGGATCATCGAGTGGGGGAAGGTTATTCTTGACGCGCGGACAGTCCGGAGCCCAGTGTCCCCATTCCCAACAGAGATTGCAAGGAAACTCGGGGGTGAGATACTGGCGGGCCCAGTTGTTGGGGGGTGGCGCACTTGAATTAGACTGGGGGCGGGCGGACTGATTTGGCTGTCGGTTAGACCCTCTGGAGTGACGGAAGTTGCCGCGTCCTCTGCCTCCACGCAAAGAATGTTGTTGACCACAAGAGGAATGGGACAAGATCGCCATTGCTGAAGCAGTGACAGATGCTATTGCCGATTGATGGAGCCGGGTTGCCATGTGGAGAAGGTCCTCAGAGGTAACCGTATGATCAGGCTTGATAGCGATTCGGGCATCCATCGAATCAGCCATCCCTTGCTGATAACGCTTGACAGTCGAATGAAAAGACAAAGATAATAACTTATCTGTCGTCCAACCCCCCAACCTCTCCTCTAAGTCATACCAGCTCTGCTTGAGAGCCTCATAGCTGGATGAGATTGAATCCAATGCATCTGGGGCCTGTGCAATGTCGGACCACCAATTCACGAGGAGAGACCAGGAGGTTGCTGCAAAGCGCCCTTTCAGAGATCCGTAGGCCCCATACGCAGTCAATCCGTTGAGGGACAAGCGTAGCACCGGGTCAATCGATTGCTGAATCGTGGTTAAGACTCCAGATGCCGTCGCCGAGTCCACAAACAATCGGTCCACTTTGAAGTATTTGTCGACGCCCGTAACCCTTTTTACGACGTCCAGAAGAGCCGCCGACCATGCTGGAAAGTTTGACCCGTCCATCAACAGCTGTGGAGCAAGATCTTTGCCCATTTGATGCCATTTTAAATGGTCAGAAATGAGCGACTTTGACAATGTAGACGAGGATTGTTTTGATTTGACGTGGCTCCAAGTCAAATTACGAATCAGCAGAACCTTTAGAAGGTTGTCATCAATGCCCGCGAGACCCAATTTGTCCAGTTCGGACGAGATTATTTGCTCCAGAGAGCGCAGCGGTGGTGGTGTCCATTGTCGCTCTTGCCGCTCTCCTTGCCCTTTTCTTGAGTGGTTGGACAGTCATGGGCAGAGTCTTGAGGGTCCTGAGGAGTGGACGTCGAGGGAAAAGGGATGCGGTTCTGACCGCTAGGAATCGGGGGGGTGGTGTTAGATGGAATCGGAGGGGTGTTGTTTGGCCGATTACCGGTTGATGGATGATTGTCGCCAGTCATGCTGAAAAAAGACTCTTCAGCCGATTGAAAAAAAGATGCGTCGAAAGATTGGTCAGCAACGGAAGGGTTGTTCTGACAAGGTGGTGTAACTCGGTTTGTAAAATTAGGAGTAATAAGCTCGGGGTGTCCGGATCGGGTGTTAACCATAGGTTGTCACAGAATGGTGACAAATAGTCGCGGAAGGGTGACTGAGGTATTGGATAGTGTAAAAGATATGTGTTTCCACAGAAGGGTGGATTGGATATTGAGATGTGTAAAGTTAAGATTTTAAGGTAAACCCCGCTGGTAACAGCGCAGGCTAATAACCTGTAGATCTGTGAATCCTAATAATCAAGATGAGATGATGAAAAACTCCCCCGAAGGGAAAATTATATTTCGGAGATGCAGAGAAACTATATATAGGTTTGTAAATACATACTTTGGTTGATGAGAAATAAGTATATAGTAGACTATGTAATAACAAAATATGTGAGAAACTGCTGACATGAGAAAATATAACTATGGAAACATAACTAAATACATACTGTATAACAACACCTATCCCGCTTTTTAGGGACCACAGCCCAAAAAACACCTCCCACCGCAGTCCCCATTGTCGTCTGTATTTTACGGTTTTGATCATCGGTCCCTCTCCAGACCCTGGATCCAAGGATTGGCTAGGGACACTGACATTCACAAGGATCACACACAACTTGTGTGTTTCCCCTGTGAAACATCCTTCCATCAACAACTCCACCTCCCCCAATACCCCCTATGTTCTAGCCTGGATACACCAGCCAAGCCATCTATGATACCAATACAGTATCCAACAACCGACCTCTCCCCATGGCAACCCCCACACCCCACCAACCACTTCTGGATCCAAGTCTGGTATCCCCATCTGAAATCAGAGTTGTTCAAGCTCCTGATAGTACCATATCCACATCCAATATCACTGTTGTTCCAGCTTGAAAACCCCCCAAGAAGCCATCCAAACCACAAGGCAAGAAGGCTGCCATGAATAACACAGATACCGCGGTCAATAAAACCACCAACAGTGCCACCAATACCGCTTCCAAGACTTCCAACTCCGCCATTGAACCTGAGGCTGAGGACAACGCAGACAAAAAAGGCCGCTCCCAAACCTACCTTGAACACAAAGACCTGCAGTTGTGTAACTCGTGGTTCAAGATCAGTGAGGATCCCAAGAAGGGCACCGATCAGACCTTTAACGCGTTCTGGGAGGCCATTGCAAGGCACTACGCAACTCATATCCCAAACGCCCTGCAATCCGCCAAAAGCCTCAAGAATCATTGGAGTGACAAGATTCAGAAGGAAGTGAATCAATTTGTCAGTTGTGTTAATCAAGTCCAACAGGCAAATCCCAGCGCAACGAATTTGGCCAACTGACTCACCATGGCAATGTCAATGTATTCAAGACTCTATGAAAAGCCCTTCACTATGCTCGGTTGCTATGAGATTCTCATCACATCACCAAAATGGAACAACTACTTGCGGGACCTTGCAAAAAAAAGAGAATCAACTTCTACAGCCGCAAACAAACGCAAGGAGCCCAACAGCTCATCAACCAACTTACCCAGCACAAATTCTACGACTACAGATGTTTCAAACGGCAGTCGTGGTGGGGATTCTTCTAGCAATGAGACTTGCGGCCCTCCAACTTGCCCCATTGGCCGCAAACGTGCTAAATGCGACAAAGCAGATGAACTAGCAGCCAAAAAAACTCAGGAGAGCCTCAAGAAGATGGCTCAGGCTCACTGTGATATTGTGGAGGTCGCTAAAAAACAAAGTAGCTTCCTAGAGGCTCAACAGGCCGCAATGAATCGATTGGTGGACGAGTCAATTATGTGCAAGGACCTCTCTGGAGCTAGCAAGATGATGAAGAGATATTATTCAATCAAGCAATCCAAGATCATGGCAAGATTGGAAAAGGAGCAATCTGCTTCCAACGATGCGACTAGCACACGGGCTCCTTGTGACAGTCAAGCGACAGTCAGGAGAAGGAAGCGACTAGGCGCTGGGTTAGGTTTCAGGAAAGGAGGAACACCAAGGAATCTTGTATATATCATCAGATTAGGTTAAAGCCTGTATTTAGATTCCTCAGTGTAGAACCTTGTTTTTTCTTTCCTTTTCTTTTTTCCTCACTCATCTAGTCGCTCTTCATTGTACACCTCAATAGGTGATTATTCATCCTTCTTCGATTCTCTCTTGTCCTCGCTCCCAAGATCTCTCTCGTGCTCACTGCGGTCCACTGGTGTTTCTCAGGTTTGCTTTCTGTTCTTCTTCTTTTTCTCTTTCATTGCGCTTTCCTTCTTCTCTGCTTGCAATGCATCCTCACTCATCTAGTCGCTCTTCATTGTACACCTCAATAGGTGATTATTCATCCTTCTTCGATTCTCTCTTGTCCTCGCTCCCAAGATCTCTCTCGTGCTCACTGCGGTCCACTGGTGTTTCTCAGGTGTTTATTCATCCTTCTTCGATTCTCTCTTGTCCTCGCTCCCAAGATCTCTCTCGTGCTCACTGCGGTCCACTGGTGTTTCTCAGGTTATGAGCCCAGCCTACTAAGAGCACACGAGTAGTCCAGATCGCGACTCGACAACATTAGAGTAATCTCACCGGAGCTTAGTCACCGTGGCTGGAAACAAGGATAACGACGATCTTCCTTCCACTTCGATCGGTCGATTTCCATTCACCCCTGCCCCTGAAGATCCGCCAGCCCCTGAGCACTATAACAAGACCGCCGAAAGTCACTCCTCTGAGTCGAACTCAGGCGAGGTAGTTTACCAATCTCTCGTTCCTAACACAATGGCGGAATCATCTCATCACTCCGCTTTGAAAACCGTCACCGATCCTCTTGATGATTCCAACTTCGCCACTTGGAGATTCAAAATACTCGCCGCTCTTGGCTATCAAATGCTAGACGATTATGTTCTTGAGGACGACCACAAAGAACTCAAGAAGGACCCTAAGTACAAGGAGAAGAAGAAACTAGCGACTACCTTCATTCGAATGCACCTGAATGAAGAGAATGCCAATCGTTTCGTAGGACATAACTATAAGACCTACGAACCCAAAGAGCTTTGGGACGCCGTTCACAACCATTTCGCGGACCAATCCATTGAAAACACCGCCAATGTTTGGGACAAATTGTACGACATTCGGTTTGGAGAAGACAACATGAAGGAGGCTGTCAACACTTTCCAGCACCACGTTTCAGTTACTCATTGAAGTCTCTGCCCACTACTGCGACAAAAAGACCCTG